AGCCACCCAGACATTTCATGTGTTTTTGGGTCAAAGAACTGAAAGATAATAAAATTTTAAAAAGTGTATTTTTGCCTGAAATATTGGCATTAGTAGCATGTTAAGAATGACTGAAATTTTTGTAGCATGATATTTTAAGTAGTTTCCTTTGAACCTAACATGTAGTAAACAATATGCTCACTTGTTGATTAACAATAAAATCCAAAATTCTATATTACCCTAACATGGGTGGCATGTTAATATATGCTGAATTACTTTAATTCCTATAGTTTCATTAGCATTTTAGACCACAACTATTACAATGATCTTATAATTCTAATTTTTGGTCTTTCTGCCATATGCACTCTTTTCTCAATATGGAAGAAAATTACTTAGCTGTACATTTTTAAATACTGAGTGTGACAAGTAGTTAATTTGCCACTTAAAAGAATCCATAATAGACCTCTTTTTAAAACAGTTGGTATTTTGCTTCATGTTAGAATTTAGAGAAAATATATTAATTTTGTGAATGATATTGAATACTTATCCAAATGATAGCAAATAGACATTTATAGTTACTCTTTTCAACAATGATTATTGGTCTCTGAAAATAATTACAGTGGACTTTAGACTTTTCTGAGAAATGAGGCTCCTCACTAGAAAACAGAAGAATGATTCGCATACGAAAAAGCCCTGACAATGCCCTAGTGCTGCTTGTGGTCCTTCAACTGGCATGGCACCTAATGGACTTGTGCTATCTATTGTTTGCACCTTGAAGAAAGAAGATTATTTATGCCAGCCTTGCAAATAAGTACACAACAGTTTATCAGCACAAATTGTTTTGTCAGCCTGTCTTATCGCAGAGTTTTGCCAGTTAATGAACAATAATTTACCCCAGTAGCCTAGTATAAATCACAGATTGTTTTCACCTAGTGTCAGTAGTGGTATCACTGAAGTTGATGGGCTGTTGTCTAAGCAAACCAGACTCATAGTACCGTTTATTTGCTTTTGATGTTGTCCTGCTTCCAGGATAGGGAGAGGAAAAGGTAGCATTTGGAATAAGCATTACCAGGTCTTTCCTCAAGAAAAGCTATTTCACCAGATGCCTGCTGACTGGGCTTTCACCAGTGTTACTTACATGAAAAAAGATAAATATGCAATCCCTGGTCTAACTTGACACATAAAGGATGAAATATACACCCAAGGACAGCACCCAGAGGCTATCCTTACTCAACTCAACTTACAATCCAGAGGTCTGGGCTCACTAGGAGACTGAAAGTTACTTACAGGACTACAGCATGCTCTCCCCTGTACCTCCCCACATAGCTAAAGGTCTGCTACAGCAGTCCTGTTTACTGCAGACATGCTTGCTCTAAAAAAGGAGATTTACAAGACACACAAAGAGGCTAAAAACAATTTTTTGAAGAGCAAAATAAGCATAAAAATAAATTGAATTATATTCAGGGTATTGGACTCATCAGACAAGAAATTTAAAACACCTGTGATTTGGAATTATAAAAGGCATGAAAATCAACAAAATCCAAAGATTAGATAGGGAGAAGAAAAGAAAGAAAAGAAAAGAAAAGAAAAGAAAATGTACAATAAGCCTTAGAATAATTGAATTGGTTCTACTTCAAAAGTGGGTAGGTCGCAAGTGTTCCTGTCTGTCTGAATTCTTCATGTTAACACCTGTTTTAAGTGAAATAAAGTCACATCATTTGGCAGAAATGACTTTACTCACAGTATTTTGCTATTTTATGAGTGACTCAAGACTACTAAATTCTTACAATTTTAATATAATTTAAAGTTTTCCTCTAGGTTATTGGAGAGTACTGGGCACAAATTTCAAAAGATCGATAGACACAGGAATTATACAGTTTGAATTTAAGTTTTAGATATATGGTCACATGTGAAAATTAAATATCTAAATTTTTCTTTCCACAGATAACAAATAAGAATATGGTGCTCACATAAGCACAGTAAGACTCCCAAAGCATTCTGTTTTTAATTTTAAGCCGTCTGCACTCCGTACAGATGTGGGTGGAGTCTTTATCCTTACATCTCAAACTTGGCAGTATTATCTTTCCCCTCTATTGAATTTTCTTCCTTATAAAAGGCAGGCTTCTGTCTCTTCAGCCAGAAAATCTAACTCTGACCTCTGACATTTACAGGTGTGAGTTCTAGGTTATCATTGTAGTTGAGAGAATGAACATGAGCTTGCTAGGAATAGTTCCCCAATGGCTTCAGGGTTCATTACAGCTCCCACTGGCCTTGTTCTCTTCCCATGTTTGATGCGTTCCTAAATGATCGAATCCTTGTATAATAGTTTTAAAATCCCATAATTATTGTCACTAGACCAGTTTTCTTCTGCACATCTAGCCACATCATATTGATCCTGACTTATAAATTACTTTGGAATTAAGTTTTAACATAAGTACTATTTCCTTACGAAGGAAATAGTTTGTATAATCTACCAACAACTTTGATTACGTTATCTCTTCTCTTGTTCAGTTTGCTGGAACTGTTCTTTTCTTATAGCTTACACAATACTTAACTATATGTATTATTTGGGTCTTGGGCATGGAGTTAACTTTTATGAGAAATATGTATAATCCATAGTGATGCTTTGATCTCTGATCTTGGAGCCAAATATTTCAATTCCTTGATGAATCCAAGTAGATAATCCCTTCAAGAAGGAGACTACAATTTTTTTTTCTGATATGCCTTAACAAAGTCATTAACAAAGCCTAATATGCCTTAAACAAAGTCATTCTACTTAAGTGACATAAGTATACATATATCTGTACATAGTCTAATTGCAATCCATTTGACAAACTACTAGGCTACCTAAGACCTTCAGGAGCTGAAACTTCGGCTAGGTTAGCTTACAACGGGGAGTTTCTAATCCTGTTGTGCAAGAAGGTACAGAATTTATAATTATATAAAATACATATACTTGAAGTTTTACTTATAGAGATTAATATTTTGTATGTTTACTTTTATACTGAAAAATCTCCCTAAATGATATGTTTTCAGAAAATTATGTATTACTCAAATGAGAAATATTTTTATATATTTCGTGAGAAAAATTGTATTTATTGCCTATAGCATAACATTTTGAAATATATATACTATGATTAATACTGAATAAATCAAACTAATTAGCATGTGTATTACTTCAAATACCTGTTTTTTGTGATGTGAACACTTCAAAGCTACTCTCAACAATTCTCAAAAATGCAATCCATTGTTATTATCTGTGCTTGCCCTGTTGTACCAATGATTTCTTGAATTCATTTCTTCTGACTGAAAATCTGTATTCTTCTATCATGTCAGCCACTCTTACCTCAGTGCCTACTGACCAACATTCTAGTCTGTCCCTCTAAGAATTCAGGCTTTTAGGATCCATATGCAAGGGAGATCAAGTGATATTTGCCACGCCGTGCTAGGCTTACTTCACTTTGCCCAGTGACTCCCAGGTTCACCCATTTTGTCACAAAGTGCTATGTTCTTTTAAAAGGCCAGATAGAATTCCATTGATTATATGCGCACATTTTCCTCATTTATTCGTCTGTTGATGGGCATTATCTTACTTTTACAGTTTGGCTATTGTGAACAATGTCTCAATGAACATGGAGATGGATATGTCTCTCTGAAATACTGATTTTAATTTGTTTGGATGTGTGACCAAATATGTTATTACTGGATCATATAGTAGTAATGTTTCTAACATTTTAAGAATCTCCATACATGTTTTTCAATGACTATACTAATTCAAATTCCTATTAGTGGTGCCACTTGCCACTAATAAATTTTCTATTTAAGTTTTATATATATGAAAAATTTTAAAATAAAGCCATCATTGATTATCTTTCCATCATCAAATGTTAATAAACATGATAATCATTAAGAAAATTTTTCATTTATGAAAGCTTCTAAAAATTTTATAAGCTGATAACTCACAGAATACACATAACATACATTCTACTTTGCATATGTAACTCATTTAAATTATTCTATCCCCAAATTGTTAGAACATCAATATCCCAATCAAAGATAATTTGATATGATCAATATTAGAGTTGTCAAATCAATCAGAAATTCATACAGTAGGCATCTCATTATAATCAACTTTAATGAGTCTTCACAAGTGCTAGACTTATAATTTTTTGCTTTCCCCCTTGAAAATGTTAAAATATAAGGTTATCACTACATTATACCTTCAGAAGTGTTTATAATTGTGAACTTAATAAAAATTGTCAAATTTTATAGCTCTATAGGTTCAACTCTAGGCACTTAAGGACTTCAATCAAATAATTTTATTTTGTTGCAACCACCCACAAATAATACAATAGTTTCCAAGGGCATAAATTAAAACATAATTACAAGAAATACCTTCTCAGCTTGTTTGAAGATACAGAAAATTATTGGAAAATTTGCTGGGGCAATGTGCCGAAGAGTCTAATTTCAAAGTCACAACCACACTAATTTTGACACTTTAGAAGTAAATGCAAATTAACTTGAGATTTTGTGTAAATGGTAATTTTTATACATCCTGACAATTACCCTTTGCTATTCAGTTGGGACTGAAACTTTTCCGGGTGTACTATCTTTGAGACTTAATTAAAAATAATACCCAGTTTTATACCTACCCTGGCAACTGGCATGTTTATTTTAAGTAATTAAGATTTTGATTTCTTTCAGTTTTAATTCACTTTTGAAATATTACTTTTTCTACATTTTATGTTTCATGATACACTGTTATACCTAGTTCTCCTTAAGAAAATACTGTTTGTTGAACTCACAATTCAGAAAACATGTAAGATGAATGCAGTAATCAAAATTTCTTAAATATTTTCACATCATATATTCTGATTTAATTATAAGTAGTTTAGCTATTATCGAGCAAGATATTTGCACTGACGTAACAGTAAAACATTTCTTAGTGTTTTTCTGTTATACTAAAAGTCTGAATAATTTCAATAAAAAGACATAAAATAACCACAGAAAGTGGAATTTACCTTGATGCAATTAGAAGCTGAAGTGTCACATGAAGTTTCTGAACTTGATGGACTACTCGCAATTGTGTTCAAATGGGTGCAAACCACTACTACCCACTATAATCTCTCATGTAGACCACAGTTGAAATTTTCTTCATGTGCTTCTCTCTGACTTTTGTGTGACCTTAATATCTACCAGCATGACAAGTTGATGAGCAGAGCAAAACGCCCACGTGAAAGCACGAAAAGAATTTTAATTGGTCCTAACTTATAAAAACCACAACTTTAATTACTTAGATGAGTTATCTGTGAGAGTATTTTTGTTTGTTTACTTTTTAAAACTGTAATGTTTATGCTTTTAGAAGACCTCCAGGATAACTCACTCATGTCATGAAAATCTGAACTGCTAAGGCAGGGTTGATCAGCTGTTTGTTAAAATAATTTCCTATTGTTTATGGTAAAGCTCTTCTCTGTGACTCTCCAAAGTTCCTCTGCTACATGTCACTGTAACTGCATCCTGAAGACTTTTGGGGCTGGGGATTTAGCTCAGCGGCATAAGCGCCTGCCTTGCAAGCAGGCAGTCGTGAGTTCGATCCCTGGTACCGATAAAAAAAAACGAAAAAGACAAAAAAAAAAAAAAAATAGGGGCTGGGGGTTTAGCTCAGCGGCATAAGCGCCTGCCTTGCAAGCAGGCAGTCGTGAGTTCGATCCCCGGTACTGATAAAAAGGAAAAAGACAAAAACAAACAAAAAAAAAAAAAAAAAAAAAAAAAAAAGTTCCGGGAGAACATGGCGGACAGATAACAGCAACTACCGGAGGCTCTCTGAAAAACTAGGCTCAGAAGCCAGGTATGGTGCGGACTAAAGAGACATAAGCAGGTGGAGTTATGCTCTGCTGACTCAGGAACGACCTCGGCTGAGAGAAACCAACTTGGAATGCAGTCCTGGTGCTAAAACAGGAACAGAAAAGTCTCGCTGCTGAGGCTGGACCCTGCGCCATTGGAAGCCGCGATTTGGGTTTCCCGCCGCCCGGCGGCTGGCTGCCTCTACATCAGCTCGGCAAGGAGAGAGACGCGCGGAAGCTCTGAGAACGGGAGTCTGCGAACGGAGTCGAAAACAGGACGGGCAGGGAGGCATGTTCTGACTTGTGGCGAGGTGAGTGACAGAAACTGACACTCCACCACAGTTTGACTCCAACGGACTTTCTGGGCCAGAGCAGTCCTGCGGGAGCAGGGCGCGCTGGCGACTCCAGCCACACATTCCCCTCTCAGGCGGGATTGGTGAAAAGTGCCTGGCCTACGTGACGCCGCTGCCGGCGGCCCCTTAGGCTGGCCCAAACCAGATCCCAGAGCCTGACGGAGGCCGGGAGGGGCGGGCCCCCGCGTAGGCTGCCTGGTGCACAGCGGTGAGTGGGAACACCTAACCGGCGCAATTCGATCAGGCTGTGGCTGACAGGGAGAGAAGCTGGGCCTCTCATATAAGCTTGCATATATAAGGAACAGAGAATATGGGAAGAGGCAGCAACAAGAAAGGCTCCTCGGCCCCCAATTCTGAGAAACAGGCAATAGTAGACACCGCACCAATACACATAAAGCACCATATAGAGAGCCTCATAGACCAATTCAGGAATGAAGTTATCAACGACCTGAAGCTAGAAGTATGCAAAATAGTTAGGGAAATGCTAAGCCCCACCCAAGAAAAAACAGATGGTGGAATGGAAGAACAGAAAAAGAGGGGAGAATTGTTTGATGGAGAAAACAGGGAAAGCATAGAATACGTGAAGCAGGTTCAAAGGGACTACCAAGAAACTAAGAAGTCTATCGAAGACTGGCATAACAGCTTGAAAGAAACTAAGGACAGACTATCTGAACTGGAGGGCAGAATTGTAATATGGGAGAATGAAATGAAAAACTTCTTAAAAATAACAAAGAAACAAACAGCAATAATACAAAGACAAGAAGATGATAAGAGGATCCATAACTTAAGGATTAAGAACATAAAAGAAGAAGTAGGGACACAAACAAATGAACTACAAAAGCTACTCACAGAAATAATCCAGGAGAATTTTCCTAATTTAGCAAAAGGTAAAGATACTCAGATGTATGAGGCATACAGGACCCCCGCTACCTACAACCCAAACAGAGCAACACCCAGGCATATAATAATAAAAATTCCAGAAATTCAATACAAGAACAGAATATTAAAAGCTGTCAGAGACAAGAAACAGACCACTTACAAGGGAGCACCCATCAGAATTACAGCAGATTTCTCTGCACAAACCATCAAATCACGAAGAGCGTGGGGGGAAATAATTCAAGCTTTGAAAGATAATAATCTCCAGCCAAGATTGAGATATCCTGCACAACTGTCCCTGGAAATTGATGGAAAAACAAGGTGCTTCCAGGATAAAGAGGAACTGGGGGAATTTGCCACCACCAATTCAACTCTACAGAGAGTATTGCAGGATATTCTAAAAAAAGAAAAATACAAAGAATCCAGAAATAGTGGAGGCCACAACTAATGGAGCAGAGAACAAAGTGAAGAAGACAAACTGACAGCTACTGACAGAATAAGAGCTCAACAGAAATGAGGCAGAGAAGATTGGATGATAGGAACAGCTATTTTGGAGAAAATGACATCTTAATAGGTAATACTGATTTAGTATCATCTTGTTTTGAAGTCTCATCTAGCTTTTGTCCTTCTGTCTCCAATGGTCTAAATAGGTTGTATCTTACTGAATTTTATTATGTACGACAGTATAAGCAAAAACCTTTTAAAGACAAGGAGATTATACAGAAACCATTATTCATTTTCTGTTAGTCGACTCTAAATACTCTGTAATGCTGTCATTCTCTTAAATGGTTTTACATTGTTTTGATATACTTAATGCTACAGTATACGAAGTTGTACTCAAGGATTTCAAGGAAAGAGACAATATGGTAACTACTTTTAGGTCAGGATTATCTGGTGGTGAAACACTGTTCTGCTTAAATGGTTATGTTTTGATCTGTGCTGTTTCGTTGTTATGCCCTCTTTTATCTCAATCTCCACTCCATTATTTACTGTTTTAATACTTTTTTTATTTTTATCCTTTTAATTAAAGAAAAAAAAATAACAGGATATATTATAGTAACCCACTTTGACTTTCCATTACCTCGATTTAAAGCCCTGTATTACTCTCACCATCTGGTTTTTAACTGATGTTCCCCTATTCTGTTTTGCTGGATAGTATCAGGTTCGAAAATTTAGGCATCAGCTGTGAAGATAATGAGATTCATTATAATGCCCATTCTCGTTGACTTTTATCTACTTTTGAAGACCTACAATGTCTCCAATGGTTTGGTTTTGTCGGTTTTGTTCTTTACTGTTTTGTTCAATTGTATTATAACTAATGGTATAGGCAATTCTATTAGAGATAGCGGGAGGCATTATGGTAACCATTGTTGATCACCTTGTATTATGTTTTCACATTATCTATTATGTCCACCCTTTTGACTTGACCGATTCTGTTCTGTTATGTCACATTTGGTTTTACTCTCTTCCAAAAAAGTAATAAGAACCATGAGAACAATGAAACCCAAAATGTGTAATAGTCATTGTACAAAAGAGAGGAAAAGAAAGTGCTCTAAATTATATAACTGCATGTATGTTTAAGTGTATAAGATAGAATATGATATCACAGAGTTTTATTGGATCATTGAACAGAACTGTTTGCAGTATCATTGATGGAATGTCCACTTTACAAGCTTTAATTTTGTGACTTGAACAATTATTTCTAAGATGACAATATGTAATCCATTAACTAGTAATTTCCTACTGTTCATTTTTTTTCTGCAAATCTGTATAACTTGTACCCTTTCTCTGCTTTTTTTTTCTTTTCTCCTTAAATAAAATTAAAAAAAAAAAAAAAAAGAAAAAGAAAAAAAAAAAAAAAAAAAAAAAAAGACTTGTAGGACTTCTACAATCTAAGGGATTTCTGGAACAGGAAAACCCCCTGAGGAGTCTCCTCTAGCATCTGTTCTGAATGCTTTTCCTATCTCCAAAATGATTGCTACATATTTTGAATATCATCACTCACTGTAGAAAACATAGTTCTAGAAGACAAATTCTACATCTTTGTAGGTGAAACGAACAATTATCTAGAATAAAAATATATTTTACTTTAAAAATCTGACAATGGTTTGATACTAAATGCTTAATAATGTGTCAGATACAGAGCGAATCAAAGAAGCTTGTCCTCTACCATCTTCCTAATTGTGATACTGTATTGGATTACTAGAACAATTAAGGTGATAAGAAGTGCCTTGGGAGTTAATTAGCTTAGCTCTTTTCAGGAGTGTGACCATTATGCTAGAAGTATGTCAGCTACCACCTTGATGTCATGAAATTATTTCACCTGCAACCTAAGCTATTTGCTCTTGGAATTTCCACTCTGAATTTATTAAAAATCAGATCACAGACAAATGCTCACTGTATGGAATTATTTAGCCATCTGTCCTAGACATCCAGCACTGCAGCACACAAGTCAGGAGCTAATTGGGGTTTGGAAATTGACCAGAGTGGAAGGAGTATGTCTTAGAATTGTGACTTTTCCAAGTGACTATGTGTAGTCCTTTGACAATGACCTTGATTGAATGGGAATGCTGATACTGCCTCATGAATTTGTATGGAGATTGAAGGTGGCAACTCATGCAGAACACTGAGCTTAGTGCCTAGCACAGTTTGAAAACTCAAAATATGAAATTACTATGCAGGCTAATTAGTCAACATAAACAATGTTAGTTTCCTTACCTTCATAAGATTTCTATATTTTCCTATTTTTAATTATAATTTAAACATACTAGGAGCAGAAAAGTGGTTTGCAGAAAGGAGGTAAAAAGAAGGAAATGTTGGAGAGTGGAGGGGAAGGTTATTTATCAGGGATGTTAGAGACAGGGCTGTTCTTACCACTTATCTGACCATGTAACTTCTGTCTTTTCCTATCAGCACTTCCTGTACCAGGATTCTTTCAATGCTCTTTATCCCTCTCCCTGTCTCCTTCCTTTTGTTACTTCTACCCATATCACTGCTAGGCAACAATCAATTTATCACTTACAAACCATGTTGTCTTTAAAAACTCTTACTAGAAATGTGTAAACCACAAAATTGTGTGGCAAGT